GAAGATACTCTTCTTGATAAAGTCATAAACAATAAAGTGATGCTACCATCTAGACATTACCTTCACATGAGTCTGGGCTATGTCCCACCTACAAGATTTTTTTTTCCCGTTTTTTGTTTTTTGTACCAAAAATCAGAAATATTGATGAGTTTACTTCTGTAGTTTCATTGTATTCATTTGGATGATCAGAAATATTTAAGATTCTACTGAGGTTGGTGCAAGTCAACAAAGCATTAGCCAACTAACTGGAGGCTAATAAAGGACAGTCCAGTGCATGAGGCTCCCGTCAATGCGGGGTCTGGGGAGGGACAGATGTATGCAGCCTTACCCCTCCACATACAGAGAGGCTTGTTCCCAAGATTTGAATCCTGGTCATCCAGGTTGCAATGGAGTAACCGAACCATTGCGCCAAGGCCCATGACCCTACTGTTTTCCCCTAGCTATTTTAAGGAAGAAAGAAAATTTTTACAAGAATCCACTGGCAAATGGTTAAAATTGATCATTCTGAGCTCTCTCTCTCTCTCTCTCTCTCTCTCCATAGGACACTCTCTTAAGTAGGATGCATAAGTTATGGTTCATGCTTTTGTACATAAGACAAATGCTGAGATATGAACACCTGCATATTGATGAGACAACAATTTTGTATGGTTCTTTAATTGAAAGGTTAATTTTGAGGTAATCTATGCTGATTTATTACACCAAAAAAATATTATAATTTTTAAGGGAGTCGTACAACTGAAGCCTTGATTGAAAACATTGCTTTTAAGGTGGTTCATTGGGTGAAAACAACAACACTTTTTGAACCATTTACTATAGATGATGCTGCAAGGGGCTGGCAACAGATTGAGACTTATCCACTCCCTTGGGTGAAAACAATAACACTCTTTGAACCATTTACCATAGATGATGTTGTAAGGGGCTGGCGACAGATTGAGACTCCTCCACTTCAAAGGCCTTAACAGTCAGCATTTCGTCACCTCCATGGCCAAACTGTATTAAACATGATTTTGATGGATGCAGCTTGGTTGACACCGGATTAGCTGGAGTGGGGGGTTTTCAGAAATCATGAAGGGGAAATATTAACAATTTATTCAGGTCTCATTGGTCAAGGTAATTCAGTCAAGGCAGAACTGGTGGCACTAGTGGAGGGTGACTCGCACAATCATTGGGTGGATGAAGAATAATAGTAAGGCCTATGGTGCTACAGGAACACCATACAAGAGGAAATTTGTGCAAGGGAGCTAAGAGTTGCACTTAGGTGGATAATAAGATCAGCCAATGGTATGACAGACACACTAGGAAGACAAGGACCAATAGGGATCTAATGTTTTGGGAGCCAGTGACAGGGAACATCTTTTTTTTTTTTTTTTTTCTTTTGGTAAACCACTAATAGGGAACTTGAGAACTTTGTATCCTAACTAAAGGAAGTGGTATTGCAGGGTTTGGAGTTTAACTCCTCTATATAACCCTTGGGTGATTTATTGTACATATCCATTATTCTATCCACAAGTTAATAATTTTTTTTTCAAGTTAACCATAAAAAATATTCTCTGCAGATAATTTGGTGGATCAGAACTTATCTGGACTCAACATAGTGGCAGAGACCATCCCTCTTTCAGCCAATAACTGAGTCTCCAGGAACTCATTTGAGTATACTACATCAGTAACTCAGACGCTAAAACAAGTATGTACTAGTTCATGCATATTCTGGGAGCTTGCATACAATACCTAGGTTCTTTCTAGTGAAAATGCTACTTTCATGGTTCATTAGATGGTTAAAATTGTTGTCCAACAATCATGCAAGATGTGGTATTTGCAAACCAAGATTAACCTATCATGGAGTGAGGATTATGCTCAGTACTCTGTGAAACCTGTGATTAAAAACAACCTGATCCTGATCAAGCCATCAATTAAAGTGGGAGAAGAGGGAAATGAAAGGGAATTGTGTGTGTGTGTGTG